ACATTTGAAAGCTCATGAGCCTGAACTTGTCTGCCCTACCTTTTCTGAGACACCTATTCATCCCTCAAGATCCAGCTTAAATATTACCACCCAATTTCCTCAAGCAGTTATTTAAACGCAGTTTTGGACCCCAAGATATTTGTGTGTTTCTCTAATGTAGTACACTTCACATTGCACTGAGTTATTTATAAATATATTTCTCCTACCAAATTTTGAGATCTTTGTTGCACTGTTAAGCACTCAGCACAGTGCTAGGCACATAGTGGGTATAAATGTTTGTGAATGAATGAGCAAATGAAGGAATTAATGCATGGGTGAATTAACACATGAATGTGAGAACTGAACCCCATCCAGAGCCAGAATTTTTCAGGTTGTCCTTCAACCGTATCATGATACGCGTTAGCAATAATGTTTTTCCTATTGCCGCATTCTAACAGGGTACCAGAATTCCATGCATTTTTCTGAAGAAATATGACCCCATTCACCTCTGGCCTTTTAGATACATTCCTAACATAAACTTGTAAACAAAAAATTATGTACATGAAAAAAATTTATCCCAGAATACATTTTAAATTAATATTTGCTATATTTTGCTTTACCTTTTGAGGGGAAATCTGTTATTTCCCCAGATCTTCTATTTACCTTCTTTCATAATAAGATTAGTTTTTCTCAAGGTTTCCCCAACGTTTAGAAACTTCTCCACTTTAGTTTACTGAGCTTTATGCAACTTCATATAGATAAAAATTCTTTAAGCTACAATTTTTAGTGTACAGTTGACCCTTGAACAGCACAGGGATTAGGGGCACTGACCCCTTGCACAGTCAAAAATCTGTATAGAACTTTTGACTGCCCCCAAACTGAGCTATTAATAGTCTACTGTTACCTAGAAACCTTCCCAACACATAGATGATTAACACATATTTTGTATGCTATATGGGTTACATACTATAGTCTGAACAATAAAGCTAGCTAGAGAAAAAACAATGTTAAGAAAATCACAAGGAAGAGAAAATACACTTACAGTACTGTACTGTATTTATTGGAAAAAAAGAAAAACCCTGCCTGGAAGTGGGCCCACACAATTCAAATACATGTTGTTCGAAGGTCAATTGTAATTAATAACAGAATCATCGCCGGTTTCTTTTCTTTCCTCCTCCCAGTCTCATCACATTGAAAATATAATGTTTTGGTCACTCCTCATGTCCACTGCCACACCAAATACGATGGAAAATGTGATTTTTAGCCATAGGGGAGCAGAGATCTCACCTTCATTCCCCTTTCCTGCCTTAGGTACATGCAAAAGGAAAACCATCTGGCTGCCCGGAAAGCTTTCTTCCCAGCTCTGTACACAAGAAGCAAAAAGATCTTCCTCCGTAAACATTTTGTGTACACAGAAAATATCATGCATGAGGCAGACAAGACTCAGGAGGAAAGCCTAAAAAATCCAAAGCATGAATTCCTGAGATCCAGAGTAGGAAAAGACACTCCAGACCTCGAAGTCAAGCTACTCATCTCAGAGATGAGGAGAATCAGGGCCCAGCACCTCACTAGTGGCAGAGACAGAGCAAGAGCTCAAGTCTCCTGACCTGTAGTCATGCATTCACCCCTACACTATCGCTTTCCAGCCCCAGACCCAGCTCCAGCCCCCTTGGGTGGGACACACCACGAATGGCATAATCACAGTCCAACTCAGCATGGGAATGGAAGAGGCAGATTCTCCCTTCCAGCGGAGTTCTCAGTACCCCTGAAGACACAAGCAGATCCAGTGAGGTCCACATCCATGTGTTTCATGAAGCATCAGAGAAAGTCACAATGCTTAGCTCATTTTAATCCAACAAGTGTTTATTGAGCACCTACCACGTGCAGAAGCAGGCAAAGTGGCTGGTGAAAAGTACTGAATGCTAGGCTAAAGTATTCAGGCATTCGCCCTCAAAGGCAAGCACTTGAAGGGATCTGCACTGAGAAGTGACGCTCATATGTGAGTTTGGAAAGGTAATTCTCCCATGAGTGTGGAGAATGGACCGGAGAAGGGAGAAGCTGGATGCAGAGAAGCCATATGCTGAGATAACTCTTCCACAAAGGAAATCACAATTTGCAAAAGCCCTCCTTATTATACTTTCCTCTGAGCAGTTTCCAAGCCTGAATATACTCTTTACATGAGTAAAGAGTATTTCTCAAGCACAGGAAGAAATGGAGGACTTTTCTTAGACTCGTCCCTTTGCCTAGCTGGTGTTCCATGATCGGGTCATCAGCGAGCCATGTTGGTTTGCAGCCATGTAGTAGTGGAGGACGGACACGTCCTCCCAGCCTCACACTCTGTGTGTGCTCAAAAAGCCCTACATGAGGCAGTTGGGTTTCCCAGAAAACATGCCAAGATGTTCTCCCAACTCTGCCACCTGGACATCACTTTAGGCAGTACCCTCACTGATATTCATTGGGTCTACATTCAGGTTACCTTCTAGAGCCTGCACTCTTTTCTCAGCCTGTGCTGCAGACGGGGGCACACAAAGGCAGGAGGGCAGCCAGAGGAGAGAAGAGATGAGCAAGAAGCCACGGGAAGAGTCCAGACAGGGAGATGAGGCTCGGCTGGACAACAAGCATAGATGCCACTGTGCTGAATAAAAGTTCCACTGCTCTCCTTGTCAACCAATAAACTGCAGGAGGCTGTCATGTTGGCGATTTTATCTCAAAGCCTGGTCCTCTCTCTCTGGGAGGAGAGTACTCTACAGGGACATACAAGGTGGCCCATGGGGTGGGGAATAAAAATGGCCTCTGTGTTTACTCATTTGTCACCTTTTAAAATGTTTACCTTAATATGAGTTTTATAAAGTAAAATAATTTCTATGAACTATATTTCATATGTAGAATCTTTAAGTAATTTAATATACAGTGTTGAGATTCATACTCAAAAAAATTGTTTTGGTGGTGGCATGTGATCAAAAAAGTCTGGAGACCATGATGAGAAAATTGTTTTGGTGGTGGCATGTGATCAAAAGAGTCTGGAGACCATGATGAGAAACCATGGAACTTTTCACCCACTAAAGGTTGGATTGTACCCTATACACTAGAAGCAGTTTATCAAGTTCAACTGTGACCAACTTAATTTAATCCATAAGTTAAATCTCCATATACCTAAAACTGAAAAAAATTGAGGGTGACAAAAGGAGAACATCATTTAATGTTTTAAAAGTGTGAAAGCCAGGGCACCTAGGGGGTGCCCTTAACTGACAGTTAAGCATCTGACTCGTGATTTCAGCTCAGGTCATGATCTCAGGGTCGTGAGGTTGGGCTCCGTGCTAGATGTGGAGCCTGTTTAAGATCTCTCCCTCTCGGGGCGCCTAGGTGGCTCAGAGGGTTGAGCCTCTGCCTTCGGCTAAGGTCGTGGTCCCGGGGTCCGGGGATTGACTCCCGCATCGGGCTCTCTGCTCGGCGGGAGCCTGCTTCTTTCTCTCCCTCTGCCTGTCATTTCCTCTGTTTGTGCTCTCTCTCTCTGGCAAATAAATAAATAAAATCTTAAAAAAAAAAAAAAAAAGATATCTCCCTCTCCTCTACCTCTTCCTCCTCCCTCTTTAATAATAATAATAATATAGCTTCTATCTTTGCACTTAAAAGTTCTGACAAAGATAATTTAGGCAATAAATAACTTTTATAAACCACAAACTGTGTTTAAAATGCTAAACCAAATCTTACACTTAAAAACATATTTTTAAATAATCTATTATCTCAATGAAGCACTTTTTCTAAAAAGACTAACAAATCAACCAATCTAGATTCAAATTTTACCAAGGCAGAAAAACCATTCTTACACCATTAAAAATGGTGTGTTTTATATTCAAATTACATAGGCCATTTTTTTGTCATATGGAGTGTTTGAGCAAAAATTTTATACTATTCCAACCTTTGTGTGTGTGTGTGTGTATGTGTGTGTGTGTGTACACACATATATATATTTACTAACAGGTGGATAGCAAAGGAGTAGATCTAGAAAATGTCTCTCCTAACTATATATGAAAATGCCCTTTATTTCTGTCTCTAAGTCTGCATTTTCTTTTAATTTTCAATTTTTTATAGATTCTATCAAAGTTCTCCTATGTAGAGAGAACATGGATTAAATTCTTATTTGGCTACCAATATTGGCAAGGAAAAACTAAAGTTTGATTTCACTAGGAGCCTTTTGTTGAAAACTCAAGTTAGTCTATAGTAACTAATAATCTATGATTCACAGGCATACATTTAGCAAAAATGTATCAAGTTCCTACTGTCTAACATGCACTGTGTTTTAGAAACTTAGCACAAGTAGAGATAACAAAGATGTAAAGTGAGTACCCTTCTCTCAAAGCAGAAGAAGGAACTCTGTCTCATTCACTGAGCACATGGAAAAGCACCTGGCACCTGCTAGGCTATAATAAACACTTCTTCACTGCCTCCTTCAAGTTGCTTACAACCCAAAAGAGATGGGAAGTGAGACACGCAAAAGAAAAAGAAAGAAAGAAAGACACAATACTTGCAAATAATTATAATATTTTTATATTCTTATTCACATACAAGAATATCTGACAATAATTTCCATCTCCCTCTTCTCTCTACATAATCAAAGTCTTATGTAGCTCAGAGAAAGGGTTTATACTCACTGCACGGTGGTCTATTTCTAGTTTTAATTACACTGCTTTACAAAGCTTAGAAGATAATTTCAATTCATTTCAAAAATAACTTCCATTCAATACAAGAAGATGGGATTTTTCACACTTGTGAGTTTTTTATTTACTTGATAATGAAAACTGTTTGGCACATAAATAAAGCATTTTCTCAGAAACTCTGATCAAGTGAAGATCCAGGGCTGATATCTATAAATAAAAACAAAATGGTTTTTCTCAAAAAGCAAAAACTTACACTCTCTCCAAACAGACTCAGTTTCATTTCTAGATATTTATAATCTAGAGAAAATTCAGTTCAAATCAAATGTGAAGCTAAAGGTTGGCAAAGACTCTCCCGGTACTTACTGATCCATACAGCTCCCCCTTCTCATTCATCCCGAGGTAGAGTCCACTGTCCACGCCTCGAATGCTGACCAGGCCCACTGCTATACTGATAAATTCCAGAATGCCTGTGAGACAAATGGCAGAGGGCAAAAGACAGGTCAGAGCACAGAACAATTCCTTAGTCTCAGCATCCCTAGGACTTTTTGAGAAGACACTGAGCCCAATTCCCAACTTGGATAATCTCACACTCATTAAAGAAGTTTCTCCTCTTAAAACCACTTCCTAAAAGAACTGATTTTTCAGCTAAACTCTGTAATAATGATACAAAAGTACTTACCAACACAACATATAACAAAACATTTTAAAAATGAAAAAGCTAGGACTTACAGATACCCTAAGAAGCAATATGACAGATAAACTAAAATGCATTTCTAATTAACCTAATAAGAGTACAACTTAAGAAAAAAAAAACAAGTATTTGTGTATGGGCTTATATTGGAAAATATTCTAATGAGAGAATGGTCTTCTGTCCCTTAAAACAAGAGTGCCAGGTATTAACCAAATACCTGATTGGTTTATATGGAAAAATAAACCAAGATAAATTTATCATATAACGTTATTAAGCTCCATCTGGAAAATGAAAATAGCCTACACACATCCCAAATATTTCTGCTTGAACAAAGTATTGATTTTTGCTGTACTTATCTAACCTCAAAGAGCTAGTTAAGCAATTAAGATAACATAATATTGGGGGGGGGGGGGGGGGAATACTGATACCAAAAGTGCTCTTGATTTAAAATAGGCATGGAAGACTATATCTTAAAATCAAACTAACACAGTGATTTTCTTTTTCCCCCTCTTCTTTCCCCTTGCTTACCCCACTAAGAATAATAGCACCTAAGCTGGGTATAAATCCAGAATTTTATGGCTATTTAACAGCAGTTTAAATTTCCCTAACCATAGTGATGATTACCCCACTGTATATTTGGGACGATGCTAGCATTACTTGCGCTTAGCCATTTGCTCAAGTTTGTTGTAAAGTGCTACACTTTATGTAGACCTTGAGTTAACATGTACCAAATACTAACTTCTTGTTTTAAAAATACTTTCAAATATTGAAAAATTCACTTATATTTAAGAGTTTAGAAAGAAAAAAAAAACTGAGGATAACAGTATGCTATAGGCAGTCTCATGTGACTAATAAAAAAGCACTTACATGGATTTTTAAACAATTAATTTTGCAACTTTCACAAAATACTCTGTAGCAATCAGAAGAAGACATGCACTACATAAATCTGATGAAGCAAAGGGTTTCAAAGGTGACGTAAAAAAAGAGAGATTTCTTATAAAGGGGTATTCTTAATTCTTTGGTAAGCACAAAATGTAACAAATATCTTATGTTTACATTTTATAGAATATCACATATATTCACATGTGAAACTATTTTCATAAAATGGGAAATAGCATATGGAAAAAATATAAAGAGAAATTACAAATTGCATTTTGGATCTGATAATCTGTGACTCTGTATTGGAAGATGTATCTAAAAGCAGCTAGTTTGGGGCACCTGGGTGGCTCAGTTGGTTGAGCATCTGCCTTTGGCTTGGGTCATGATCCCAGGGTCTTGGGATCCAGCCCCAGGTTAGGCTCCCAGCTCAGCGGGGAGTCTGCTTCTCCCTCTCCCTCTGCCCCTCCCTTCTGTTCATGCTCTCTTGCACATGCACGCTCTCCCTCTCTAAATAAATAAATAAAATCTTTTTAAAAAGTAAAAATTAAAAAAATTAAAAGCAGCTAGTTTATTACTAGTTTATTACTAGCCTTCCCTACCTCACAAAGCAAATGGAAAGATAGATAAGGAGATATCTCCATGAGATTTATTTCACATGAGATGCCCTCCCTTATTGATGCAATTATTTCAATTCACTGTACTATTTCCAATTCTTATGATTAAAAAATAACTTGTATTGTGGCATTCTATTACCATTAGGAGCCATATGCATATGAACCTCTTCTTAGCTACCTGAAAACACACCACAATATAAGTCATAGTGATCCTGAAATCAGTGTAAGGAATTCATCAATGTCCAATTTTCCTTATAAAATGAATGACAGGACATATTTTGCCCCCATTGAGGTCTGACCACTTTAATATCCCATGTCAAGGGGGAAGAGTTTAATCACAAAACTAAAAGACACTTGCATCTCCGGACACGGTCTTTGATGACCTCTTGGTTTTCCCTAACCAGAAGGCAGCTTGAAAAACTAATCATGAATATTCATCATCATCGCCCATCAGGCCCCAAAACAACAGGGGCCTGTGATCCTACAAAACCATCTGACTAGCTTGTCTTCAGAACAGCAAGAAGACTATCAATAAACCACAACAATGACAATCCTAATAGCTTGAACACTTGAGCATTGAGTCTGTGCCAAACGAGAGGCCTTCTTTCAGTCAATCCTCAGAACAACGCTCAGCATTACAATATGTCCATCTCCAGCTCACAAATGGGGACACTGAGGTTTTAAAACGTTAAACAACTTGCCCTCAAGCAATGAGACACCAAAGCCTGGATCCTTACTGATTATGTACTTTTATCACTGTTTTTACCTTTTTTTCACTGTGTCTGTGATTTCTGTACCATGTTTATATGTTCATTCCTTTACTAGTGACTAGATGTTACCCAGATCAGACTCCACAGACCCAGTGAGCAGGCAGAGAAAATAAAGAGCAGGTACGTTCCTGGGACTGTGCTCTCTCATCATGCCGAGTTTGGGAAGGTGGGCATATGTTATGTATGTGGACTATTTACCAAATTGTTTATGTACACAGAGTTAACATCTAAGTACTGAAATTGTTATTATATGTTTCAGAAATGAAAGTATTAAATACCTGTCTTGTTTCTTTTTCTGGCAACAACAAGATAGCTGTTAATTCATATGCACTGACTTATTTGAACAACAAACTATTATTGAGTGACCATTATAAGCCAAGAAACATGCCATTTGTTAAATATACAAAGATGAATAAGATATAGCCAAAGCCCTATATCCTCAAAGTACTTACCATCTAGTGGAAGGAAAGACAAATAGATAAATAAAACAATGTGATAAAGGCAGTGAGAGGAGATGCTTAGGGTACGGTCACATAGGCTTAGGAAAAGGAGTCAGAGGGGGCCTCCTGAAAGTGAAACAAGTTTCTGAGGGGCTCTCCCTATGAAAAGGAACTACCTATGTAGTGACCCCAGGTGGAAAAGATTTCATTATCTCTCACCACCATCCATATCTCTGTAGCTCCTTGGAAATCAGAGACCTCAAAAGAACAGCCCAGCCTTTTTGAGGTCACCTCAGTGATCCAAGGGCAAGCAGAACACTTGAATGTGTGAGTCACAGCATTCCCCCACACACAGGGAGAACACCAATGTTGTAAGGTCAGAAAGACCTGGCAAAGCCTGGCAACAAGATCCCCAACGCCCAGGTTGGAATCCTTAACATTCCTGGTACCATCTTGCCCACAAGAAACTCTATAACCTCCACCAAGTCAACCAACCTCTCTCTGGGCCTAAGCCAAGCAAGTGCTTCCAACCATACTCACTTGAGTACAGCCCACTCCCCAGGTTATCTGTTAGCGTGAATGTGCAGTACAGAGGCCTGGTGGAGCCATAGCAACCCAGGAGGAGGCATCTGTGTAGAAACATTTCAATGTTTCAATGTTTAACAGGAGAGGAAGGTTAAGAAGGGAAGAGCAAGGAAGAAAAAAAAAAAAAAAAGACTGGAAGAGAGGGAGGGAGAGAATGGTGGAATTGTGCCTAATGTTAAAACTATGACCCTCACATGCGTGCCATGGTGGGCTGTCTCTCCTCTTCTGCAGACACAACCAAGACATCCTCAGTTCAAAAGGGCCATAGTCATGGGTAGTGATGAAGTGACAGGGGAAGCACAGGGTCAGTGGCTAGTGGCATTTGCCTCTTCTCTTTCATAGCAACCAACAGTTCCTTTGAGGATGTGTTCACTGGGCTCGAGGGGGTCTGATGGGGTCTGAGGTCATCTCTGGTCCACAAGAGTCCAGGACAGTTTCTGGGACCCCTTTAGGAAAATGACCACACCAGACTTCATCCTTGCTCCAGACTTGCTAGGTATTAGTGGTCAGCCCAGAGCTCTGTTCAAATGGACCATTAAACCAAAGCTGGCCAGCTCCCAAGAGCCCCTCTGCACTGAGCCTCACCTCCAAGTGAGCCTCCATAATAAGGCCAGCCATGGCAAATGGGAGGACAGGCAGAAGCTGCTCCACTCTGGCCCATGCTAAACAACCCTCTAGCCTAAAAGCCCCCAACACTTAACAGAGCTGCATTCTTTAGAGGGCAAGAATGTATGCAAGCTGTGGAGAGAGGCATGACATGAAGCTTTCGAAAATAGATTAACCCCCCTCCCTACAGAGCTCCCCACTCACCCAGAGAATCCCACACCAGGGCTGCCAAATCAATCATCTCAAAGCTAGGGACAGAGTAGGTCTGAGTCTGTGGCAACTTGAGCAGATCTCAGAGTTTCCTTAGGAAATGACTGACTAAAGGGGAGTTTACAACTCCAGTTTTTCAAGAATCTAAACCCATCCAGAAAATAACACCTTACATAGGAAGTCTTTCCCTTAGTGAGATATTGAAGAGGAAACCCCAGGTCATACTTATCTAGGGTCCTGATGAATTTGGCCTTTCAGAGCCACCACCACTCCAGGCCAAAAGGCATAGCAACAAAGAAGCAAGCCATCTTTCCACAAAGTCAAGTGGTCAGTCCACTCAGGTTTCCTTGTGCCAAGTAAAATAGTGGATCAGGACCAACGCTCACTTTTTTATTATTTTGCATTACCATTTCCTCCATTGATTTTCTGCTCACTTGTTTCTAACAAGTTTCTCTTTAAAGAGAAAAAAATTATATATATATATATATATATATATATATATATATATATATGAAATGAAACCTCTCACTCCCCCAGACTATTACAGACATACAATTCCTCGTTCCTTTTCTCCATGCTCAACCTTATCGCCACACCACCACCCCCAAAGGAAAAAACAAAGGGCTCTCTCAAGGTCCCACCTAAGTTGTCACTGCCGCAGCTCCTGCTGGGACAACAGTAATATTTCCCCCGCCCCCATGTCCTCTGCACTGCCGCTGCTGTGTCACCGTCAAGCTTGCCAGCAGCTGCAGTCACCTGCGGCTGCATGGGGGTGGCAAAAATCATTTTCCAGCACGTTTCCTTCTGCCGGGTCACTGCACGTAGAAATGCACCTTCTATTTTAATCAAGGTGTAAACCTACCCCCATTCCCTACCTACAGCTACTCTTTTCTAGAGAATCTAAGAGAAAAAGGTGAAAACAAAGTCCCCTGAAGGGAGCCGGGATGAAGAGAGGGAGGCTGCAGATAAGGGAGGGAGGAGGGCAGAAGGAAAGGCTGCAGGGAGCTAGCTGGAGCGCCAGGTGTGGCGAGCTGCCGCAGCCCCACGGCCCCCACCCGAAGCCCGCTGGCTTCCCGGCCCTCCCCTCGCACTCCCCGCCGGGTCCTAGCGCCGACGAGCCCAGCCCTCCTTCCGGGCGGGGCTAAGAAAGCAGGGGTAGGAGGCTCCCAGCACTCGCACCTCGCTGCAGAGGTTGCTAATATTGGGACCTGCCGCAGCGGTAGCAGCGGGAGACCGCGGCACTGCTGTCACCCCGGGGGCCGCTTCTCTCTGCAACCGGATGAAAGACTTAAATAACCCTCCTGCCTCACCCTCCTTCCCCACCCCCACTGCGCACAGCCACCCACTCAGCTCCATCCAAACGAGGGTGAGTGGCACAGCGGAGCACCAGGAGCGCCCTTCCCCCCGCAGCCAGTTCCCGGACGACCCCCGAGCTCGCCTGTTCGTTGACCCTTCCCCCAACCCGGGCCAGGGCTCTCCTCCCCTCCCACACGCACTGCCCCTACCAACCCAGCCAGCAGTGCCTAGCGAGTCTAAGGAGTAGACATGTCACTTCCTTGGCGACACCTTTCTCCAACCTCCAGGATTGGGGGTGGGGTAGGGGGTGACGACGTCTAGTTTTTGTTTTATGATCTCTATTCAGCTGCTGACCAGCAGTCCTTGTCCGCTGACCCCAGAACTCGCCTCTTGGGTTCTCTCCATCCTCGTGGTTCCCATAATACCAGCCTTGAATCCTCACTCTCCCCAGTGGCACTTACTGGATTTCTAATGACTGCATTCAGCAAACATCTTACCCTAAAGGTGACTGCATTTAAAAAAAAAAAAAAAAAAAAAAAAGAAAGAAAGAAAGAAAGAGGAAAAAAAGCCCGTAGGGGGCGGGGGACGTGTAGGAACCCCAACTGGAACATCCCATAATCTCTCCACGCCGGGGCCCAGTCGGGCTGCGCCGGGGTTCGGAGGCGCTCTCTCCAAGGCAGGGCTCGACTAAATGCACCACAATGAAGCTGCCCCGGCCTTGTAGCGGTCTACCCCGCTACGCTCCCTCCTCCACACCCCCTGGCCCAGAGGCCGGGGCCCAAGCCCGGGCGCTGAAACGCAGGCCCACGGGCCGCGAGCTCTGCTCCCCGAACGCCGTTAACAATAGCTCACCGCCCCCTCCGCCCGCCTCCGCGGCCCTTTGTCCCCCCCAACCCCCACCCCTTCCCCTGTGGCTCCGGCCTTGTCGGCGGGGGCCCCCCGACCCACCTCCCGGGCACAGCGGAGCCATCGACTCTCCGAGACCTGGCTGCGTGCTTCAGAAGAGGGAAATGGGTCCGAGATAGCACTGGGGAGGTCAGGGGTACGACCTCCAGCCTGTCCTCCATCCCCGCCACCAACTCTCCCGCCGCTGTGCGCGCCTCCGGCGGTTCCCACACCACAAACAACCGCGCTGCCCGGGGCGGCGGCTGTCAGCCCCGCCGGACCCACACTCACACACAAAGAGGAAGCGAAGGAACTAAACTTGGGCAAAAAAAAATCTCATTCCCTAAACACGGCGAGAAGTGTGTCAGCCCCAGCCCGTCGCCCCCGGACACAAGGAGTCCCTGCAGCACCAAAGGGCGCACTCCAGCCGGTTAGAAAGGGGGACGGAAACAGAGCGTGTTTAGGACCGCGCGGAGCTGGCCCGGCGGCCGCCCAGTGCGCCCGGGGGCCCGGGCTGCCGACTCCGCACCTGCCGGCTGGGAGCGCGGGAGGACTGGGGCTCCCGCCGCCAGGCGCACCTAGGCCGCCAGCCCACGCCACTAACCATACGTGCCTGAGCGGTGCAGACGTCCAGCGGGTGCCCGCTGCGGCCCCGTGCACAATCGGCTGTCCCACCCACGGCCGCCCACTGCCTGTTGTTCGGATACTGAACGCTAGGCACTGTAGCAGCCCTTAAAGCGGCCAGATAGAACAGCACTTCTAGTAAAGTTTAGTCCTCGCTTTGCAACAACCAGAGCTGAGTTTATTTCGGGGAGGTGGGGAGTGCCGTTATATTTCAACTCAATAATTGCAAAGCAAATTGACAGCTTTGCCTTTTCTTTTCTTTTTTTTTTTTTTAGCAGAGCGGAGACTGCCAGAAATTTACACTAGTGGGTTCAGCCTGGGGCTTGGGCTCGTGGTAAGCAAAGGAAGAAAATCCTGGGCCTCGTGTATCTGGGACCATCCCCATTCCAGGCCTGAATCTTCCTCACCTTCTGGCATCATATACAGCCCCACGAGCCTAAACAGATAGTTTAGGCTGTGTTCAACATCTGGCATTAAAGCATGAGGAAGAAAAATCACCACAGGACTTTGTTTTTTACGACCTAGTTTAAGTGTTGTCAGGTGGGTTCACTGAGAAGTTAACTCCTTCCAACAGTCTGGTTGTCCAACTGGCGCTTTCCTTTTGGTAAGTAAGGAAAACCCCCGAAAGTCCCTCGATCGGTATTGTGCTCGCTGACACTGTGCTGCTGGGCTCAGGATGGCCCCCGCAGGCACGTGTGTGCAGGCACTAAAGTGAGCAGAGTCACCAGCACTCGGGTCTGCAGTCCTCAATGCTGAGTCACAAGTACCCTCCTTGGGAAATGAAATCCTCGGAATGCCCTTTAAAATTAGCTCACAGCTTTTGCACGCGCGCGCACACTCACACCAAAGAGCCACCCAGGAAACCCACACAGGGCTGCACAATATAGAAATATGGAGCATCGGTAATAACTTGATAGCTGCAAGGACAAACGTCCCTGGTGAGCGTTCTGCCCTTTCCTAAGTCATTTTCCCCCAGCGCCTCTGCCTCTGCTGCTCTAGGAGTCTAAAATTTTACTTTAGTCCTCCCAACAGAACAATCAGTCAGCCACCTTCGCCTACGGGATTTTCAGACCCTCGCGGTGGGAATAAACAATACGCTTAATTTACAATTCAGGCAGTATACTTATTAGAAGAAAAAGAGTAGGAGCAAAAACTTCATTGGGGCACAAGATGTAAACCACTGCTTTCAGCAAAATGCATTTTCAAGTTCTCGGTAGTTAATGATTAAAGCTTTAAACTCGTGGAATCAGTCCATTCAAAAGAAACTTCCTAAACCCGATCTTCCCGAGTATCTGATGCAAAAGAACTAGAGACTTTTGTTATATTTATAAATCATGCCCTCTTTTCAAAAAAGTCGCGGGGGGGGCTTTCAATGTAGACTTGCATCAGTGCCAGCGGCAGATCTGCAATTACCGAGGCTTTTTCTTTTTTCTTTCTTTTTTTTATCTTTTCTTTTTCTTTCCTTTTTTTTTTCTTTTTTCCTTTCTTTCTTTTTTTCTTTTCTTTTCTTTCTTTCTTTTTTTTTTTTTTTTTTAAGCTAGCAAGACAGAGACAGAGTGACAAGTCCCCTTCCCGCATCCCCCGCCCGGCCACCACCTTCTTGGTAGTTATGACCCGAACATGTCATCGCACGGACACTAAAGGGTTAATGGTATACCTACCAAATCGGCTGTGGTCTTTCCTGGTTCCCTGGATAGTACCATTGGGGAAGATTTCTAAGTGAAATCCAGTCCTGCAGTATAGCTGCCTCCGCCTGAGAATCCCCTTTAAATGATCCAAGTCCGTGACTGCGGGTCCCCTGGGAAGCCCCCCTGCTTCGGACTGACCCAGGTGGTCACTTAACAAAACCGGACTGTCCACCGGCAACACCGGCACATTCCCAAACGGTACCGCGTCCTGCACACCGAAATAGTTCCCAACTTCACCTAAGGGAGCCATCAGAGGACTCGGCTTTTGGAGCACAGGAATAAACAATAATGACGGTATCAACCCAGAAGATATTAGGCGAGGTATATCCAACTCCCCTCCCTTACTGCAGTTGCAGAGAGAGAGAGAGAAAAAAGGGGGGGTTCTTTTCTTCAATCCATTAAATGCATAAATAAAAGTAATCTGCTGTTTCACTGGCACAGGTTCAAGGTCAAAGCACTGATAGTCTAAGAAACCACCACTTTATACTCACACACTGACATATTGATAAACATATCTATGTATCTCTATAGATAGATCCCCAGCTCTTAGCAGGCAGGAAGGTCTTCATCCCATCCGACCGTAATAAGGAAAAAAAATCCGTAGTTTCTCCATTTGGTTTGAGATCAGAATGACCATAGCAACTTAAATGCCTAGGCGTTATTATAGGGATTTTTAAGATGCACGGGCTACGTCAGAATTTACGGATCCCGACTCCAGGAAGGCATGCGCTGTTTTTACTCTAACCGACTCTGCAGACATCAGCACGAATCCTTCAAGGGGGAAAAAAAAAAAAAATCTCACGTTGGCGGCGGCGACAAAATCTCCCCTTCTGGTCCCCCCTCCAAAAATAATAATTATTTTAAAAAAACAAAAAGAAGAAAAAACTTTAGGCGTCCAAAGCTAGTATCCAGAATTCTCCAGAGTCTCGGCAGATGTCCATTGGCTTAGAACGAGTGGCGAGCGGCGAGCGAGGAGAGCCACGACCGCGAGCTCGCGTGCCGCCCTGGCTGCCGCGAACAGGTGTTGCCGCGCCGGCTCGCGGAGCGTTGTAGCCGGGCGGAGCGCTCCTCCTGCGCAGCCCCCGCCGGCGCGCAGAGTGGCGCAGGCAGCGGCATTGGGTTGGGTTTAAGGTAGCGCCGCGGACGCCCGGGCTCCCCGCGGTCCTAGCGCCCGCCTCACCGAGCGCGCGGCTCTGCCGCAGGCCCGGCGCAGCGTGCCAGAGCACGAGACTTCTGGGGGACAGCCGCGATACACTTGCTTTACAAAGAAAGATGCATGGAGAGAGGCAGGAGGCAGAAGCCCTGAGTGTCCCGCGGAACTGAATCTGGTAACCTAAAATCTTGCTCGATACATTGATGGAGGTTCAGACTACAATTGGCAAACTAGTTTTCACAAGGACTCTGTAATTTGAAGTGCATTATAAAATAAAACTTAGTTGAAAGAGTTGGAGGGAAGTGGGCTTGATTCAGTGAGCTTGAATGGATACGGCAGTTTCTCTTTCATTCTTCTGCCAGACACACACAGAAGCGCAAACTGTACTGCAGGTAAGCCGGATGGATGTGAACCAGCGTGTGTGCGTGTGTGTGTGTCCTGTGTGTGTGTGTCTGCATCTCTCTTTCTCTGCATCTCTCTCTTTCTCTCTCTCTCTCTCACACACACACACACACACACACACACACAGGACACACACACACTCACGCGCGCACGCACGCACGCAAACCCAGAGGCAGATGTGGCCACCGTTTTGTTCCGGGCTTCCTGATGGCATCCGTTGGTGCTATGCTTAGGTCCAGCCCCGCCGCCTGGGTCCCGGCCGCCGCGGTGCAGTCGGCAGGGGGGGCGCCAGAGAACCGCCACTGTCCCCGAGTTCGACTAGCGCGCGCATCTTTGGAGAGTCGGGGTGGAGAAGAGTGCGCCAGTGGGCTCTCTCTTTCCCCCAACCACGCTAATTAGGGAGAGCTGTGCCACTCCTCGCTGTTTCAGCCTGTTTCGCTGTTGGGGAAGCGAAAGAGGAGTTCCAGTGTCTCCCCCACCATGGTCTGAAGCCAATCGCAGAGCGGGAGAGTGGGCGCAGGGCGTGTGGGTGGGGGGGGCGCCCTGGGGCCCGCCGCCTCTCCTTCCTGCTCTGCCTCGCCGGGCCGCAAGTGGAAGCCTGAGCTCCGAAGACCAGGCTCGGCTTTCTCCTCGCGGCCGGCTGCCTTCGCGCCCAGCCACAGGCCGGGACAAAGAAATCCTCCACCCCGAGCCTCCAGGCGCCCCACCGGGCCAGGCTGGCGCAAAATCCCGGAGGCTGTGCGCTCTGTGTCCGGGACAGCCCGCAGGCGCCGGGATCCCCTGAGCGGCGCCCTCATCGCCCCGGGTGCCCAACACCCAGGAGCGCACACATTAGCCCCGCAGCCCGCCCGCGGGCCCCTTTCTTCCTGGCTTCTCTTTGTTCACATTGTCTTAGAAATGGCCCGACTCTCGGGTCAAAATGGTGAAAGTTGCCGAGACTTGAGCACATCTCCAGACTGCAGGACATGCGAGTGGGAAGCAAAGTGGAAGCAGAGACAGGAGCCCTGTGGTGGGAAAGGGAACCAGCCTTTTGGGGTAGTGGGAGAGGGAGAGCCTCAGTAGTCGGCTAAAGGCTGGAGGTGAAGAACAGGGGTTGGCCCCACAAGGGAAGAAAGGGTTTCTCCCGAAGACGAAAGGGAGTCATGAATTTGCAGATATCTCGGGCGCAGGACGTGCCGGCGACCTGGAGCGACAACCTTCCCCTGCCCCCGGGGCGGAAGGCGTGCTTGGACCCCAGCAAAGAGGAAGGAGAGGGGCGAGGTGGTCCTCCCTTCTTGCCATTCCCACACCCCTTTGCCGCAGTCCCAGGTCATTGGGTGTCCGCGGGCTGACTCCGTGCGTCGTGCTTACGTGTTTATGAAGCACCAGAGCCCTGCCCTGTGGTATTTACAGCAGTCACATCGACGGTGGGCTTTAACGTTAACTGCTGAGTGGCAGATACAAGAAGCCCGGGAGGAAGTGTCACTTCTCATAAACCACCCGAGTAGCTGGCATTAATCACGGAGGCAGCCAGTAGCGCTGGGTTAAGCCTGGGTGTCCCTGGACCACTCCGGTACAGAGTGCCGGGTGGATTACTTTTTTATAAAACCTGATAACGAGAAACAGGCGGACCGGGAGGGATGGAGAAAGGGAGACGCTAGATAAGGGAAGACACGAGCAGCACGTGGACATTTCCACTGAAGACAGGACTGGGACAATTTCCACCAGCTGTCTCCAACCACATTCTTTCGGTCTGAATTTAGATTGTGAGCCAATGAGCAAAGACCATTTCCGCTTCCGAATCCCGCAGCCTCGTGACTGTCACTTTAAAAAGGATGCAGCAGTGGGAGAGCGGGTTAAGTAGCTGATACCGCACTTTCCCAGTTAGAAGCAGCCTGCCTACTCAAGCATCTCTTTTCTACTGCAGTGAATTTCATCCACATTTCATCCGCATCCCTAACTCTACCTGCAGGAAGCTTTTGCTGCTTCCTTGCCCCCTGAACTTGCCCCGCAGGTTTCTCCCTTCTTCTGTTTGGTCCTGTTTTCCTATTACAGAAATGCAAACAATGTCCCTCCTTTCATTGATCACATCCCGTTTTCTCCAGAACTCTCTCCACTGGCTCTGTCTGGCTGATTTCCTCAAGATTCCCTTCCTGATCTGCCATGATCGTGAGCTCCTATGTCCACGCCTGTATGTATGTTTTACAAGTCGTCTCCAATTAGTACATAGATGTTAAGCTCCAAGAGGAATGAGGCCTTGCTTTCTAGACACGTGGTGTAATTGGCTTAATAACACCTGCCTTGGAAGATTGTTGTTAGGAATAAAAGGAAAAATGCACATAAAACAGGCAGCACACAATAGCCACTTTAGACATAGTAGCTATTATTAAGCTGATCCTAACATAGTTCCCCCTAGAATTCTGCCCATGAGATATTCAGCAAACACTAATACTCATTTCAATCCTGATGCTCTCTCAGTCTCTCTCCTTAAAATATTTTAATCCCTCTGGTTTTCTCCTCTTCCAGTTTGTCATCTGTCTTTTCTGCTGATAATTTAGTGCTTAGACCCAAATAGGCATCATTATGAGGTAAATGAAGAGAGATATGAAGAGGAATGAGCTCTAGAATAGGGGTCAGCAATCCCAAACCAGCTTCTCTAACCCTCCCCACATCACCACAGTCTGCTCCCTATGATTACCAATACCCCTTCACAGGCCCCGGGTGAGTGGCTGTAAATATGGGTTCATGATACATGTATGTAAAAATGGCCGGTAAGCTATGAAGTACCTACAAATTTAAGGTGACCACTGGACAAAAGTTCTCTCTGTCTACTTCTACTGCTTTGTTCATTAACATGTGTCTCCTTTGATTTCTTTGGACCCCCCAAATGCATCACCAAGGAATACTTTCATTCCTTTCCTACAACAATAAAGGTATAACTGGGCCTCCACCCTTCCATCTCCATTTCCCCCATTCTCCTCACCTCACTCTACAGCCCTTTGGTTTGGGAACTGTGGTGAGTGTGGAGTGAAGAGGAGTGTTTGGGAAGGTTGAAGTCTGCTCCTAGTCTGATCCCATGGACTACATCTAAGCTTCAATGGTCAAGAATTCTGGTAAGAGGACAGAACTATCGTAGTCAACATGTATTGACTCCTTTGCTATGTTCCAGACAATCTACTAAGTGCTTTTGTGCCTTATCTTTTTAATTTTCAAAACTGCCTTATGAAATTGGTACTATTATTATCCCATTTTACACATGAGAAAACTGACTTATAAAGATTAAATAAGGGGCACCTGGGTGGCTCAGTTGGTTAAGTGTCCAACTCTTGATTTCAGCTCCTGTCATGATCTCAGGGTCATGAGACTAAAGCCCAAGTCCGGTTCCATGCTGAGAGTGGGGGCTGCTTGAGATTCTCTCTTTCCCTCTCCCTCTGCCCTTCCCCACCACACTCACACTCACTCGCTCTCTCTTTCTCCCTCCCGCTCTAAAAAAAAATATGTATATATATATATATATATATATATAGAGAGAGAGAGAGAGAGAGAGAGAGAGTAGCATGCTTTTTGCTACAGTGTCAATAAATGATGGAATCAAATTCACATACTTCAGACCTCCATTATGCACACTGCCTTCTATTATAATAGACAATACTTTTAAATTTTTATAAATGACATGTTTCCATAAAATAAATATATAGAAGCAAATAGCTTATATACATATATGAATAACCAGTTAAAAGACATAATGAAAGACTAAAGACCTTAGTTACAATAGGGGTGAGGGAAAGAAAAATAAATTCCTAGGAATATAATTAACAAAAATGGGCAAGATCTAGATGAAGAAATACATTTAAAGTTCTCTAGGGACACAAAAGTAGACTTGAACAAACAAAGGCATACAGTGCTCTTAGATTTTAAAAAAAAAAACCTCGATTTCCTAAATATGTAATCATTCCTAAATTAATCCGAATACTTAAACCTGATGCTAAAGTTAATATAGAAAATTAAATTTAAGTTGACAGATAAATGTTTGAAATTGACAAGAAAAATTGGAGAGTAACTAGCCACATAATATTTTTAAATATTTTTAAGCTATAATACTCAAAGAAGTGTTTTCATATGAATTATTCAAATTAGCATATGAATAAGGAGATAAAGCAATAACATAGACTAGAAATCACAGAAATAGACCTAAATTCATAGTATAATTTAATACATGATAAGCAATCATGGGTGGGAGGATGGGGGGTTGGGGGACAGTGGTCAGGGAGTGAACTACTAAGTGAATGGTTTTGCAACAACTGAATAGACAACTGGGAAAAAAATAAGTGGTATCTGTTCCTCATACTTTACATGAGGATAAAACCTAAATGAAGCAAATATTTCAATATTTAAAAAATTAAGTACTAAAAGAAACAAGGAAGAAATCCTTTATAATCTCAGTAGTGAAGTTCTTACTAATTGTATCACAGAACCCAAATGCCTAAAAGGGAATAATGACAAATTCTACCACATACAAAACAAAACACTTGTTTAATTGCATGGA